CCGGGGCCCCCCCAAATCCCGGTGCCGGGTCAGCGGGATTCGATCCTGTCCCTGCTGCTCCCCCGATCCCCTCTCCGTGCCCTTCTCACGGCACCCCACGGCCGGGGGGCAGCGCTGGCCCCCCCAAATCCAGGGCAGCAGCTCCAGCCGGGGTGGGGGGTGCCCCCAAATCCCCCCCGGCAGCAGCGCGGGGAGCCAGGAGTGCAAAATGTGCTTTATTTGGGAACCACACCACCACCACCACCGGCTGCTGCTGCTGCTCCAGCCTCGGCCGCACCTGGAAGGGAAGGAGGGAAAAATGGGATTTACCCGCAGGGAAGGCCTGGAGAACCCGCGGTGGGGACGGAGCCGCCCCCCAGGGCTCTCCGAGCTCCGGGATTGCTCATGCCAATGCTCACCTGGCCCGGTTCCGATGGAATTCCCATTATTTCTTCGGTGCTGCTTTCCTTCCCCGGCCGGCCCCGCGCCCCTGCGAGAAAGGGGAGGGGCTGAAGGTGGGGAGGGGGCCCCAAAACCGCGCTTCTCCCCCATTTTTGGGTCCTTGTCCCCGGCCAGGAGCTCCCTGGGATAATCCCAGGGGATAACGGGGGGCAGCTCCTACCTTGGGGGGAAGGGGATCCTCACGGGCCAGGCTGTTCCTGCTGGGGGGAGAAGGGGAGCGTTGGGTTTGGGGTCCCGGCCCTGGGGGATCCCCCCGCTCCAGGATTTCCATACTCACAGCTCATCCTCCTTTTCCAGCTTCCTTTTCTACGGGAGAGAGACGGAGATGGAGGATGAGGACTCTTCCTCCCCGAGGGATGAAGGCCATGGCTCATCCCCTTGGAGAGGAATTTGGGGTGCCTGTCCCCCTTCCCCGTGCCACAGGGACCCCAAAACCCCTCCGGTGCTGACCTTGGCAGCGCCGCCTTTCCGGGCACTCGAGGCCTTGGGGGGCTTCTCGGGGGTCTCCTCTACTACTTCCTCTTCCTCATCCTCCGAGCTGAAGTTTGTCACTGCGGGCGGGAGAGCCCGGCTGAGCCCCCGGACCTCGGGGACACCCGAGGGGGAACGGGGAGACTCACAGGACACTCGGGGGAGGGTTGGGGACACTCGGGGGACACTCAGGGGACACCCGAGGAGGGACAGGGACACTCGGGGGAGACTCACAGGACACTCGGGGGAGGGTTGGGGACACTCAGGGGACACTCACGGGACACTCAAGGGGAGTTGGGGACACTCAGGGGACACTCACGGGACACCCGAGGGGAGTTGGGGACACTCAGGGGACACTCACGGGACACGTGCTGGCCGCTGACATAGACGGGACCGGAGCCGCTTCGCAGCCGGAAAGTCACGGGTGGGGTCAGTTCCACTCCCGCCAGCGTGGCCTGGAAAA